TCCATATCTTCTCTAGTCTTGCACTTTGAAGATTTGATGCTTGAATTTTTCTCTCTTTGAACCATACTTGGGTTTGGTTTAAAGCTTAAGAGTTTTATACAAAGAACTAGCATTCTACATCAAATTGAGTCATTATTGGTGTCTCAAAGGTTCCACATTTTTCATCAACTTCCAAGCCTCCCAAGAGGACCCAAAGAACTACAAAGGTTGTTGTTTCTTCACCTCTTCTTTGGTTGGTGTTTTAATCTTTCTAAAACTTGCAAGAAGATCCTTGGTGGGTATAAAATGTTTATGTTATTTCAAAAAATTAAAGTCTTTGGTTGCCATATTTTTCAAGTTTATGAAACTATTTTTGAACTAAAACCCAACAATGTTCGCCATGCAATACCTAAATGCCACCTAGGACACCCTACGTATATCAAGTGGGACATCATTCCCATCTTAAGGTGCATGCCGACCACCCTTAGTAGGTTCAATTATGATTTAGCATGCAATTTTTGATGTAAATATCCAATCACCATCTTATATCTTAGCTAGGTTATTTAGTAAAACAAAATGTTGATCAAAAGAAACATAACATAGAAGCAATCTTTATTCTTCGTACTCAAATTTTCTTCCTCTAATTCATATATTCAAACTCAAATTTGCACGTCTATAACCATATGCGTAACTGGAAGATGGATATCTTTGTCATTGTTGGTTCCCTTTTTTGGATTTGAGCGTCATAAACATTGTGGGTTCTCCGTTTGAATTTGAACATCATTGACGAAGGATAACTTTGGAAAAAAATTAGTGTTTTCCTCGTAACTCTTTGGTACGTGGGTTATGATCTTAACTAATCATTTCTTTATCTACTTGTTTTTGTTTCTATATGAAGAATCCAAAGAAAAATATTGTATTTTGTGGGTCGAAAACGAACAAACATAGAAGACGAAGAAAGATGAAATGGTGTGTTATTTTGAATTGAAGCTTGCAAAATTGTTAAATGAGATGAGCATGCACAACATGAAGATGGATCAAGAAGTACCGATTATTATTAGACAATAACTATATCAAATGGATAGGAAGATGTTTACTCATAAATGTGTAGTAGTTCTATCTTTTTTTTTTCTAGTTAATGTGCTTTATTAACATATTGTAATAGTGTAATGTTTTTATAATGAACTATAATTCTTTCTTAATTGTAATCAACAGGTTCTAATGGTTGAATGACTTAATCAGGGCGGAACCCTTTAGGTTTAGGGGTCAGCGGACGCCATGGCCTCCCTGCTTTTTAACCTACTAATATATATATATATATATATATATATATATATATATATATATATATATATATATATACTAGGTTCATGTATTCTAACTATTTTTTGTGTGGATGTAGAAATGAATGTGGACCAATCATTTCAAAAGGGCAATTATGTAATCTTACATTTAATTAATATTTTTAATTTAATTAATTTGATATTTCTCCCAAATAAAATCCTTTTATAGGAAACTATTTATGAAAATGTAATTGACTTTTTCTAACCCTAAATTTGTTCCCTTTATCTATTAGTCGAACGCACATCACAAACCATTGTGTGAGACACGGCAAAAAGAGGGAGAAGAAAAGTAGAAGTTGCGTGAGGGAGAAGCAGTGTTGGAGTTGGTCCCCTTCGCCGACAATATGTTCTAGAACTCAATTTCTAATTTTAAACCCATCATCAACGTTGCTGCCATTTGCGGTTCCCTTCGCAAAGCCTCCTTCAACCATGGCCTCATCCGCTCTGCCATCGATTTGACCAAGCAATCGGTTGATGGAAAAAGATTCCTCAATCTGATTGTTTCCTCTTTGCTTCTCCTTAGTACAATTACTCCATCATGGCACCTTTGAAGAACGCAATCGATTGGGCATCCAGGCCGCCGAATGTCTAGGATGATAAGGCTGCTACCACAGTCAATGTTAGTGGTGGATTTGGTGGAGGGCGGTCAGAGTATATTCTCCATCAACCATCATCATCTCGTTACTCTCTGGAATCGAAAAATCAAACTGAATCGATCAAATAATTCTTCGCCCTTCTTGAATCTTAATCGAACCACACCACAATGTTATAATTGCCATACATGTTTGTGTTTCAAAACTACATCCTATTTTCATAATTTCTTTTTGTTTACAAATTTTTGTCAATTTTGAAATAATGAATCTCGCTGATGATACATATATGTTTACTTTGAATTTTGGATTTACTCATTAAAAATTCTCACTTTTTGACTACCGTATACTCCTTTCTAGTTTCTCATAAAGTTTGACCATCAAAGTCAATGGGACTAGCCGACTAGTTACTTTGATTTTTGAACTAGTTTTGTTTTATTTTTTTTATTTAAAAGTGCTAAACATTATATTGTGCATAAATTTATACAGGGTAGAGACGATTTTTGTTTTTAAAATGTGTTAAGTACTTTTGTTTACTTTTGGATTTAATATATAGCTTTTGTTTATTATTGTTCAATTATTCAATTTTTCAATGTGTATTTTGTTTATTCTGATGAGAATGTAAGTTTCAATCATGAGCTAGGGATGCAATTTATTGGAGAGCATTCAGGCTGAAAATGAAATTTCTCCGGTGACATCGTTGGTGGTTGAGTCTCCGATAACTTGACAAAATTAGCACATAAAATGGGGTAATACTTGACTACTTGTGTGTCATGCATATGGATTAAAAGAGAATTAATAAATTGAGGTTATCCATGTCTACAAGATACATTCCTACCCATATTATCAAAACTGAAAAGTTTGATTGTTATATATATATATATATATATATATATATATATATATATATATATATATATATATTATATATATATATATATATATATATATATATATATATATATATATATATATATATATATATATATATATATAGATGATTTCTTACTTGATTTTGTGTTTCTTATTATTATGAAAATAAAATAAAACACCTGTTATGATTAATTAAGAGCTTTTTCATTATTTTTATTCTATGAAAAACTATAATATATGTTTTACCTTCATTTATACAACAAATAAGCATGTGTTACTTACCTACAACTTTCATGATTATTGTACAAATATGTTGATTTTGGAGTTGTTAATTGTTATAGAATGTAAAGTTATGTATTCTTTGTGTACATTCTCTGGACATAAAGTCATTATAACAAGTAATGCATTTTTATTCTTTCAGAAAGAAGGAATCAAATATTAGAATAAAGTAGATTATTTGGACCACTAAGAAGATCAAATGTATTTGTTGAATAATTGTATGTTTAAGAAGACTATTTTTTTAAGAATTTTGTTTATTTTATGACATTCTATTAGAATATGTATAATTATATTAAAATGTATAAGAATATTATTTTATAAGAATATGTATGAATTTGTATTTAAGTTTCGATTTCTATGATATATATATATATATATATATATATATATATATATATATATATATATAAAAGAATGTTCTTATTATTCAACTGTGTTCAAGAATTTTTTTATTCTTTAATAATATTCTAAAAGAATAACATTCTGACAGAATTATAAAACATAATTCTAACAAAATGACATTCTGACAAAATAAAATCGGTTATGTGTACAAATTATATTGGGAATTTAAACTAATTTAAAAAAAAACTAAATTTTTTTAAATTAAGAGAATTAGTTATCCCCTATAATATGGAATTTTCCTTTTTTTAAAGTTTACCTTAATTGACCAAAATACCCTTAGAATGAAATTATATGGTGTTTTTCTATGCTTTAGGAGGCAAGGTAGATGAGACGATGTCTTGGGATGATTTTGTTACGAGATTCAAGGCTGAGTTTGCACCCATGATTGAGGTTCAACAGCTGGCAAGGGAGTTTCAGGACCTTCTCCAGACTACCGAGACTGTGGCGGAGATCACCGCCATGTTCTGTGAGAGGGCCTTGCTGGTTACGCTGTATGTGGCAGACGAGGACATGAAGAAGGCTCGGTACCATGATATGTTGAAGGATGAGATACATGAGTTTATGAGTATGTCTAGCTGCAATACATTGGATGAGATCGCTCGGGTTCGCGAGCGGGAGATTGATCTGGAGATTGTGAGGAAGAGGAAGCCAGTTCAGGCGCATGTATCAGAGGGCGCGGGTAAGAATCCCAAGGTTGTTGATTCACAATCGAGAGACCGACAAGGACAAAGCCACTGCGACAAGTGCGAAAAGGCATACGCAAAAGTTTGTAGGATGGGTGGGTCCAACTGCTACACGTACGGCAAGACCAGTCACTTTAGCAAGGATTGCCCCACCATCTAAGGCCACAATAAGCACTACTAGAAAACAACCCTTTAATGACGCGCAAACAATGACAGACATTGATTTACGATACGCAAAAGCGTGCGCTTAAAAATAATGTCATCTCTTCTAAAATTTGAAGGATAGAGGACACGCATTTATGCGTGCCCTTAAATTAGTGTCAGAAAAGAAAAAAAAAAGAAATACAGAAGACACCTATCATAAAAAGCGTGTCATGTAAAGGTGTCGCTTTATATTTTTTTAAGAAGGCGCGTTCTCCGTATTTTTTTTGGGGAAATGAAATCTCAAAAAAATTAAATACCCCGCCTGATACTCCTTCTTCTCCTTCTAAAATCCTCTACTAAGAACCCTAAATCATTCATAACCATTTTCCGTTCCCAAAAAAGTTAAACATCCCGCCTACTACGACTCCCCAAATCACCCTAAATCATAAATCCCTAACCCTAATTTGTTCTTGAGAAACGGTGCCTTAGATAAAAAACTGTGAATTCAACTTCGAATTAGTTCAGGTTCTCTCAATCAAGAACCTCCCCATTCTATAACTCAGAAAAAGCATCAATGCCCGCATATTGCACCTGCGCCGGAGTCAGCCGTTGGGAGTTGTTCAGTTGTTCATCGATGCCACATAGCTTTCTAGAATAAGTCGTTGGATCGGGCTCTACTTAAGCGGTAATCGCCGATTAGGAATTGGATGATTTTGGTTGATGAGAGAGAAGAGCAGGCTTTGCCGATCGGGATTTCTGGGTGGATGTGGATGGCTTGGTTTTGCTTGGTCGGTTCTATGTTGCTTCTCGTTAAATCTTGCTTTCCATTTCCTATTGCCATGGCATCAACAAAGGCTTTCATCCCGATTAAACTTCTTAATGAGAACACGTATTGTTCTAGTGATAGTCTTCCATCTCCAAATGACCTACAAATCTGCAACCAAAAGCATTACAACATCAAAACACGTATTGCAGATTCTGCTTCTTTGGACCACAATGATTGGGCGTCGCCGATCTCTTCCAGGAGTTTCTTTTTGACAACGATGGCATCAGTCACGTACTTTACATGTTAATAGATTTCTAGGGCTTATGTATGTTTCAGTTTATATGCAACTTCCCCAAATTAATCTAGAGAAACTTCTAGGGTTTATGATTTTTTAGGTAATCTGCAGTGATTAGGTTAATTTACTCATAGTTTTGATTAAATTTTTTTTATCATCATGTCTAGCTCCCCTCTCTACTGTGTTCCTGTGAGTCTTATACTCGGTAAACAAATATGTAATAAAGAAACAAATATGTAATAAAGAGGAAACTGAACGAAAAAAATTCTTTTGGCTTCTGCATATATTTCCAGTTGAGCTCAATTTATGAATTTTATTTTCACTTTCTGCCATAGGATCATTTGTTAGGACTGTATTTGTTCTATGGTAAAAGGTATTTCATTTCAACTTTTACCCTCGTGAATGAAAATGAGAATGTTGATTGATTCTTCAATGGATTCAACTACAAAGTTCATGTCTAAATAGATTCTTGGATCCTTAATGACAATCACAGAAACAATGCATTTCAGATGTTTTACGGAATTATTTAAAGAGTATTGATTACGACATAGCTGCTTATTTATGAAAATGACCATTATGCCCTTGTCTCTTTCGTCTTCTTAATGTCCTTCATCTTCCTCCACAAGAAACCTGAAACCAAACAAAATCCCCAAAAGTCAAATTAAAAAAAAAAGAACATAACAAAAACAAAAAACAAATATTGGGATCTTTTAGTGAACAAGAAGTAGTACTCAAATGGATAAAATTACAAAAAGAAGAAAACAAGATGAATTCTCAAATGAACAGTTAAAAGACTATGTAGCTGGTATCTATCTTAGTAGTGCAATTACCAGCTTGAGCTGTCTAGTTTAAGAGACTATTAATATGGAATGGATTATTATGTTACATTATATCCCAAAAGACACTTTATGATCCACCTGCTTATTATAACTTAGGAAAAATCAGTGATGTCGTTAATATTTTCATTGTAGTTTCTTGAGAGCAATAATGTTTTGCATCTGACAGTTACTATTACCAGTCCCTTATAATGTATTATCCATATAAAGGGTCCCACTTTTTTTTTGGTTTCTACTTTCGGATTTCTAGATTTTAATATTACTGTTAAGTTGACATCTTCTTGTAGGCTATTTCTGCTCCTGTTTTATCTGCTGTTGGTGAACGCTATTACAAAGATATTGCAGAGGCATTAAGAGTATGAGGGGAACTTGTTCGAGCAAACATTGAGGTCTTATCCCTTTCTATTTCATGATCTATTCCAAAAATTTCTTGTATTTATCTATTTTTCTGCTTTGATATTACTTTATTGATTTGTTTAGGTTTCTGATTTTGATTTCAAACCTTATGTCCATCCAATATATAATGCCATCTTGTCACGATTGACAAACCAAGATCAAGACCAGGTTAGTACTTGTTTGTTAACTTGTATTGGGAATTTGGGATAACATTTAATTGTGTTTCTCCAGGAGGTTAAGGAATGTGCTATCTCTTGTATGGGGCTTGTTGTTTCAACATTTGGTGATCATCTCACAACAGAATTACTGGCATGCCTTCCTGTTCTTGTAGATCGAATGGGAAATGAGATAACCCGACTTACAGCTGTTAAGGTTTGTTTATATACTTTCTTTAGGTTTCCTTATTGAATGCTGAAGCTTTTTCCAAGTCAAGTTAGGATGTGTTTAGTTTGTGGATTCCGGTTGAATTGGAATTCGAGATTCCATTCCATGGCATGTTTGGTTCCAAATGGCCGGAATCAATTCCATCAGATTCCTTCAGTTTTCCATGTTTGATGGATTTTACCATTCCTAGGAATGGGTGGAAGGAATTCAATTCCATACCATGCCCTCATTATATATAACAAAAAAATATATATTTAAAAGTGAATCTAGAACTATTCAATTTTCGTTATAATCTTCCATTCTATTTTCTGTCAACCAGCAGTTTACAATTTGTCAGATTCCAATCCTCTTAGATTTTGATTCCTTTGACAAATTCCAATTCCTTCCAAAACATTATGGGAGCCAAATGCCCCCTTAGTATCATATACTTGGTAAACAAAATTATATGTAATAAAAAGGAAACTGAACGAAAAAAAAGGATGGAACTTGTAGAAGATACAATGTGGGCAACAACATATACTTTTATCTCTGACCCTTGAATTTTTTTTTCAGGATTTTGCAGTTATAGCTGCATCTCCACTACACCTAGACCTTTCATGTGTCCTAGAACATGTTATTGTGGAGTTAACTGCAAGGTATAACCAACACCAACATTTAAGGGAATTTTACTTGTTACATTGAAAATTGGACCAAAATTTGAACCATGGTTTTTCTTCTTTTCAAAAATAGGCTAATCGAGCACTAAGGCAAGAAACATTTGGTAACTTGAATACACTAACTACTTGTGGCATATGGTGAAGTCATCATTGTGGAACTTTCAAAACTGATCAGGCTTCTCACCTGACCTTTTTATAAAATTTTCAAGTTATTATGTTTTCAGATCAACATATCAAATTAGATATATAAATAAAATGTAATATTTATATATTATTGGTTTTCAACCTTAACAGTGATTCAGATTTGCATATGGTGGCTCTTGTCTTAGAACTCTGTTGTACCTTGATGTCAGACAGGAGGTCTTGTTGGTTTGACTGTCAGAAATATAGTTCTTCCACAGACTTTGACTTTAGTCAAAATCTCATTTCTTGAAGTCAAGGACAGGCCCTTTTAGCTTTGCAAAACGTTTTTGCTACTTTGGTGTACTCTGCAAACACAAGTTTTGATGCTTTGTTGGAATCTCTTCTTTCAACTGCCAAACCATCACCTCAGTCTGGTGGTATTGCAAAACAAGCTTTGTTTTCCATTGCACAATGTGTTGATGTACTCTGTCTTGCTGCTGGTGATCATAAATGTTCATCTACAGTGAAGATACCTACAAAGATATTGAAAGATGATAACACTACTAATTCGGTATGTTTCCAATCCCTAATTTCTTTCTTCTTATTTGATTGAATGGAGGGATTCAAGTGTTAAGGTTGTGGGTTTGAAATATTTCTATCTAAGTTCAAACATATAAAAGAATGGTCGACATATAAATATAATTGAGCTAGCTGTTAAGATTAAGAATCCTTCTTTTATTTCTTTCTGTTACATCATCGTACTTTCAGTTTTTTTTCCTAATATTTAGGCAATGTGATTTCAAAAATCTATCCAAATTATAGCAGTGAAATTGCTTTGTATTATTTATCATATTTTTTCATGGAGTTTTTACTAGTTCATTCAGATAAAGATCCATTTGATCATTTTCTAGCTATGCGATGAAAGTTCATCTTTTTATTTGTTTGATAATATATGAAAGTGCAATCAGATTGTCATGTTTAACCTTGTGTTCATCTTTTTTAGGCCAAACAGTACCTTGCCTTGCTATTTTATGTTTGGGTGAAATTGGGAGAAGAAAAGATTTGAGCTCACATAGAAAACATAGTTATTGAATCCTTTCAGTCTCTCCATTTGAAGAGATAAAATCGGCAGCTTCTTATGCACTTGGCAACATTGCTGTTGGAAATCTCCCCAAGTACTTTCCATTTATCTTGAACCAGATCGATAATCAGCAGAAGGTGTCCCTTAATAGCAATGTAGTATTAGGTTATATAGTTAGGGAAAACCTCTTAATAACAATATACAATTAGATCCCCTTAATATCAATGTATTACAATTTTTTGACAAGATGTTATTGGATGAAATTGATTGTTTTAGTATATATTTGTTTACATATTTTTGTATTATGCGTAAATGAGTATCATAAAGACGCATCGTAAATGCATATCGTAGATGGTTACTGAAGTTTATGACACACAAATGCGTGTCATCTTCATTTATGACAGGGGTTTCCTTGATACACATTGCGTGTCATAAGCACGCGCCTCGTAAGGTTACGACACGCAAATGCGTGTCGTCTTCCTTTATGACAGGGCCTTCCTTGATACGCATTGCGTGTCATAACTGCGCGTCGTAAATGCGTGTCATAAATGCGCGTCGTAAATGCGCGTCGTAAATAGACGACGCGCAAAAGCGTGTCGTCTCTCGTTATGACATGGCCTTTCTTGACACGCATTTGCGCGTCGTCTGAGCCTTTTACGACACGCATTGCGCGTCATAAAAGGCTGTTTTTCTAGTAGTGAAGGCCAATTGCCCGAGTTTGGCTGGAGGAGCAATTGTAGTGCCCGCTCCGACGACATTGAGGATCACTGATGGCTGCAAGGGCAAGATGGATGCACCAGTTGTGAGGAGTCGAGCTTTCCAACTGTCAGCCAAGGAGGCTCATGCCGCACCGGATGCGGTTACGGGGACGTTCCTAGTGAACAATGTTCAAAATTTGGTTCTGTTTGATTTGGGTGCCACCCAATCATTTGTGTCTCTTGCTCTTAGCTAGAGATTAGGTGATGCTCCAAGGAAGCTTGATTAACCATTAGAGTTAGAGATTGCTAATGATCGTCCATTCCGAGTATCGAGGATTCATTGGGGTTGTGTGCTGGAGATTTTTAGCGAGCATTATCTGATTGATTTGGTTTGTATTACTTTTCGCGAGTGCAAAGTGATTGTGGGAATGGACTGTTTGAGCCCTAATGGGGTGATGATTGACTGCAGGTACTAGTTAGTACGGGATCGAACCCCAAGTGGGGGAGAACTAGTTATTTATGGCAAGGGTGCTCAGCATGGACTGACTCTCTGTTCAGCTACGAGAGTTACGTGATATCTACAATAGAGTCGTTCTGGTTTTGTGGATTACATATTGGATACCAGAGAGGTGAAGATGAGGACGATTAATGATGAGCCGGTTGTTCGAGAGTATGCAGATGTGTTCTGGAGGACTTTCCTGGAGTGCCTCCGGAGAGGCAGGTGGAGTTTTGTATTGATCTGGTCCCAGGGGCGGCTCTAATAGACAAAGAATCCTATCGATTAGCACCAACGAAGATGCAGAAGTTGTCTACACGGCTGCAAGAGCTGTTATACAAAGGGATTTATCAGACCGAGTAGTTCACCCTGGCGAGCACCAATTCTGTTCGTGAAGAAGAAAGATGGCTCCCACAGGATGTGAATTGATTATAGAGAGATGAACAAGCTAACGGTGTATAACCGTTACCTGCTTCCAAGGCTTGATGATTTGTTCGACCAGCTTCAGGGTACGTCTTGGTTCTCCATGATTCATTTGCGTTCAAACTATCATCAGATGAGTTCGAGATGAGGATGTTCAAAAGATGGACTTTAGAACTCGTTATGGTCATCAGAAGGCGAAATGCACTGGAATACTGATATGTACCATGCACCTGAATTTACATATGGTAATATTCATATCTGACCGAAAACAAGTCCTTTATGGATATTATTAGGGGAGCCCTGGAGATACAGTCTAGGACCTTGTTCGATCCACAAGGATAAAGATCAAATGAACGGTTATTCTCTTTCTGTCAAGCCAAGATATATTGCTAACCCCTCAGTAACTAATAATTAAGTGAGACACAAATTTTTTAGTTCATATTTTTCTGGTAAAAATAAAAAAGGAGATAGGATTCCTGATTTATGAGTTTGTGGTGATGCCTTTTGGGCTCACCAATGCACCAACAACGTTCATAGATCTCTTAAAATAGTGTCTACCGACCAATGCTGGATCAGTCTATCATTGTGTTCATTAATGATATCTTGGTCTATTCTAAGACCAAGGAGCAGCATAAGGATCATCTGCGAGAGGTTTTGGAAACTCTAAGGAGAGAGAAAGAAGCTATATTCCAAATTCTTCAAGTCTGAGTTCTGGTTGTGCGAGGTGCAGTTTCTAGGGAACCTTTGTCAATTAGAAGGGTATTCTGGTTGATCCGGCCAAGATCGAGGTTGTGATGCAGTGGGAGGTTCCGAGATCTCCATCCGAGATTCAAAGTTTCCTCAGTTTAGGGTTTATGGTTTAGGACATTACTTGTATGGGGTTTGTTGTATCATTTACACGGACCATAAGAGCCTGAGATATTTGATTGATCAGCCAAATCTGAACACGAGGCAACACATGTGGCTTGATGTGGTGAAGGATTATGATTGTGAGATCCTTTATTACCCGTCAAAGCCAACGTGGTGGCCGATGCTCTTAGCCAAAAGATACATGACTCACTGACTATGATTTTAATTAACCCACTCTTGGAGCAGATTCGAGAGGCTCCGGTGTAGGTTATACAAGAGGAGCATTAGAAGAGTGAGCGTATAGTGGGGCAGGTGTCCTATTTTGATTATGATAACCGAGGATTATTGACCCTTCAAAAACTACTTTGGGTCCCATATTTTGGTGGTACACAACAGATCTTGATGGATGAGGCACATAAGTCAAGGTTTTCTTTTCATCAGGGAGCGACGAAGATGTATAGAGACCTCCGGTTTGATTATTGGTGGCCCTGCATGAAGCGGGATGTGGCCTGGCATGTGGAGATTTTCTTAACTTACAAGAAAGTCAAGGTCGAGCATCAGCGACCTCACGACAAGATGGATCCTTTGGGTATTCCCATTTGGAAATGGGAAGAGATCACGATGGATTTTATCACAAAGCGACCGTATACCGCACGAGGGGTGGACTCAATTTGGGTCATGGTGGATCGATTGACCAAGAGTGTGCATTTCATCCCTATTCATGAGAGCATTTCTATGGAGAAGTTAGAAAATGTCTATAGCTGGGAGGTTGTATCAAGGCATGGCGTTCTCGTTTCGATGGTTTCGGATCGGGATGTTCGGTTCACTTCTAGGTTTTGGAAGAGGTTCCATGAGGATTTGGGTACTCGGTTGCACTTCAATACAACTTTTCATCCGCAGACTGACGATCAGAGTGAACGGACTATCCAGACCTTGGAGGATATGCTTCGGGGATGTGTGTTGGACTTTGGTGGTAATTGGGATACGTAACTTCCATTGGTTTCGACCTCCTTTTAAGATGATTTACAGGAGAAACTGTCGGACCCGATTTTCTGGGGTGAGGTCAGTCAACGAGTGATGGGTAGCACAGAGGTGGTGCTCCGGACTACTGAGTTGATCCAGCAGGTGCACAGGAGATTGCAGACCGCACAGAGCCGATAGAAGAATTACGATGATAGACACAAGTCAGATTTTCAATTTCAAGTTGGGGATATAGTACTCCTGAAGGTGTCACCTTAGAAAGGTGTCATCCGGTTTAGGAAGTAGGTTAATTTGGGCCTCATATATATCGGTCCTTTCAGGGTTATTTCCCAGGTGGGCAGGGTTGTTTATCTTTTGGAGCTACCCGAGGAGCTCATTCAGGTTCATAACAATTTTCACATATCTCAATTGCGGAAGTTTTTAGTTGATGATTCTGTAGTGGTCCCTTTACAGGATATTCAGGTGGATGAGCGCCTGAATTACATAGAGAGACCGATTGCGATCCTACACAAGAAGACGAAGTCTTTGCGAAACAAGGTTGTCGATCTAGTGAAGGTGCAATGGCATCACCGAAAGGGTTTAGAATGGACACGAGAGCCTGAGGAGGAAATGAGAGAGCACTATCCAGAGTTCTTTGCGGAGGCGAACTTTGAGGACGATGTATGATTCAATTGGCAGAGCACTATCAAAAGTGCTTTTGAACTTCATCCCAAAGCATCTCTCACGAAACCCTAGCCCCTTTTAGAGAGTATTGAGCCTTTTGTGTGTTTTGGTGTGTTTTCGGTGCATCTTGAAGAAAGAAGAACCCTTTGGAGAAGCGCTTGTTGATTTGAAGCTTGTAGATCCAGACCTTTCTCACCTTGATCATTCTTGCGGAGGTATAAAGTCTCCACCTTGTTTATTCATCTATTAGATCTAGCTAGTTTAGGGTGTTTGGTATATTTTGGTCCCTTGGGTTGATTCATGTTAGTATAAGCTACTACAGAAGCTTAGGATAGTCGATCTTGATGTTTTTGAGGTCCCTAATGCATAAAAATGGCATCTTGATGGATTTACCTCAACCATCCATGAGTTGATGGTCATAATATGAAGTTAGGATGTTAAAAATGGGTGTTGGGCCTCTTTGATCCATGCAAAGGCATCACATTGATGACTTTATCATTTACTACGTTTCCTAAGAGCAAGATTTGTGATTTGGACGTTTGGACTTAAGGCATTAAGTGCTTTATGTGAATTTTGGCCATTGGGGGAGTATGCGGGGCGTACATATGCATATGCTCAGCGTAACGCGTTTAACACCCATTTCCCCCTTGTTGTTAAGGTTTGTATGTGGGGCGTAATGGTGGTATGCTCAAAAGGCTTTTTGGCCCATTCTTATGCTTTGGATGCTTAGGGACTTGGTCCATATTTAGATGGGTTAATTGAGAGAAATGTAAAATGGTCTTTTACCCTTAGCATGTTAGATGATAATATGGTCCATTTATTAAGGGTTATTACCCTGATTATTTATTAGGATTAATTTGGACTTGTTCAGTGTG